CTGCCGCGAAGAATGCCGCAGTACGTCAAAGAAAATTGTGTCGGGACGCGAATTTGCCTTTGGTAGAATCCAAAGCTTGGTGGGAGAGAAAAAACAGAGGCAGTGTCACGGACAGCGAGTGCGAGAACAAAAGTTGGTGATGACTGCTAAGTTTCTGATATGACGGGGTTACAAAAACGGTTGTGATAGCTAGATGCATTGGTGTGGTACACAAAAAAAGAATACCAGTGTCACTGTAAAGGCAAACGTCTGTATCCATACGCTAAGCGATACTTTTTTAATCTATCCGTTACAGTTAGAGAGTGTAAATCATAATAGGGTCTTCATAGAGGCGTAGTAGTTCTATTGTGGTACAAGAAGAACTGACGTGAGAGTTATTTACTATAAATTGCTTAGTTTCGTAGATTAAGACGTACGTAAAAAGGGTATGCTACTGCTATAATCAGTAACCTATTTAGCTCTCCTTTTGATCAGCTTCAGACACGTATCTTTCGAAGACGTCTCTGGTTGTAAGAGTTAAGTGCCCGAGCTAAGGATGAGTAATCTTGAGCATTAGTGCCACGTGACTCCTAGGAGTTGTAGTCCCCTGAACCAGGACTAGAAGATTAGGAGCTTGTCCATACACTTAGAGTTGAATCTCACGAATTCTGTAAGACTTTAGACCCTATAATCTAATATCTGTTCAGTGGGATATTACAGGAGACTCTACGAGCCTAGAAAAAGTCTTCCTCAGACTAAGAAGTTAGGGTTGCCCCGCTACACCTGAGCTGTCATTGTTGTGGTTGTCAACGGGTGGAAATATGTTTTGTCTGACAAACGGAGGATAAATGTGCAGCTAATAAGGTTTATGAACGAAAAATCATAAAAATGAGCAGCTAATTAGGTTTGTAACGGTAATATAATCTTAACCAACAACGCCGTTAGTTGAACCTTTTGTTGAATTCTTCGTTTAAACGGTCTTTCAAGTGGTAACTGAAATGCCGCTCGACTACTTTTATAAAAATTCATTGACTGTCGGTAGGGATATAAATGGATACTGTAACTTTGAGTTAAAATAGGTTTGATGCTACAAACACGTTTATAAAACAGGCGTAATCAATCGAGTTCTAATTTTCGGGAAATGAGACAGATAGACTTGACGGCAATCTCTTCTTAATCATTAACCATCATCGACCAGCTGTCGCTAACAATAGAGTCGAAGACTGTCATCTCGTGATTTAACATTGTGCAGATGACTCGCCAATAGGTCCTGTCGTGCAATCCCTAAGTCTCTGGGCAGAAGATGGACTAAATGTCACCTACCAAATCGTCTGCATCGCTTCATCCGTGTTGGCGTTGCAATATGGTGATGTAATGCACGTGAAGCAATGGATATCGGAGTAAATAAAAAGCTTCTAGTATACACCACTCATTTTCATCAACAATACAGCATGCAACTTCAACGGCTCTGCAGCTCGATCATATCAATCTGCAAATGGCTTTAGTCTTGCCTACCATCATCATATGATGGATTCCACGTGGTGACCAAAGCTTGTATTCCCATGTTCCAATTCATCTCATTACCGTACCAGAAGTAGAGTTTTCACACAAAGGCTATCCATGCAAGGTTATACCGTACCTGTAATGGGTGTCTTGTTAAACCTTAAATCTCGATGACCCATCAGATACAGTATCTTTATACAGGCATCCAACCTCTAGTAGCAATTGACCTTCATACAGGCTAGTATAGACTTGTTCAGCTCTGCTTCGTAGAGCTACGATGACCTGTTAGAAAGACTGGCTATTTGGAGGCATGGTACTACGCAAAATTACGCTGTTGTATGCCAGCTCAACTAGACTTTTGATTTTGCAGCTACAGTACGGTTGTATTCAGGTAAGTGACTTGCTTGCCGATAAATTGCTGGATCTCGACGCGGCCGAAGAACTGGGCTTACTAATTATTGTAGTATTATGCTCTGAGTGTCACCTTGTAGTGCGTCGGCATCGTGGTGGGCGCAAACTATATGCCGCTCTTACTAATAAATAAACGTTTGATTTTATATTTACCAGATAAATGAAAAAATCCTGAGTTTTCAGCTGTGATTTTCATTTAGAAAAAAGGGTTCCCTAACCGTCGGCTTATGTGTTAATGCATCATTCATCCACTTTATATGCAGGTAAGAACAGTGAAAAAAAGCCTACTTTCTTGATATCATAATTTAATGCTGTTAAGGAAGTAGGCACGGCATACCGATCTATTAGACTGCACAAGGCAAATCATAAATGTACGATGCACCCGGTTCAAAGTAGTATTGCATTATAGGTACGGTCCTGGTCGATCTTTTCGGATAGAGACGTCGCACTCAATGAAGATGTGTCGCTTTGTACACTGCCAAGAGAAGACGATGTTATGGGTGCGTTGTGGCTCAAGGCTTGCTTTTTCCATGATCAGTAGCAAGTTTTTAAGTTAATTGCTCTTTTAATTTACTATTGTACTAATTCTATAGCAGGAAACCGGATCTGAGAGCCATTTGCCACACACGGCAGTATGTGGAAAACGTCACTTTTCATCTAAGCGGCCAAATGTACTTGCTGCTAGCTCATGAGTATCAATTTGCCCAAGCACAGTTGGGGATTAATGTCTGGCATTATATTTGCACTATCTATTGACAATGAACAAATGGAAGGGTTAAAATACGACTCTTCAACTTAATGTAAAATGATTTGCAGGAAAGGACTAGAGCGTATGCGGTAACCAAGAGTCGCAAGTAGGGCTGTAAACATTACACAGGTTGGTAATGTATTGACTTCCCACGTCTCGTCTTGCGCAGAAAGATGTATTCCGCGGGACGAGCTCGCTAAAACTTGTATAACATGAGTGCCTTCTATTTGGCGGTGAGGGCGCCAAAAAATTATAATAATAGTATTAGAATTAGTAAACATTGCAGTTTATCACCTGGTACAACAAGCGTAAAAGATGAATGCCTATTCCAGTAGAGTCTAATTGGTGCTGCAGATGGCGTACTAACGTGAAAGGATATTTCTTTCCTGGCGCACAGACGTGAAAGGGTATTTCCTTACACTTGGTGGCAATGAATACAATTACAAGTACTGACCAAACACACCAGTATTGATGCTCAGATGCGTTTCTGCAGTGGCGATGTATCCAAGAAGGAAAACTTCAGACTACACCATTGCTCAAAAGCGTTTTAACGGTTGATGGAATCGTAAAAACTTTTAAAAAGGATAATATTATCATTTATCATTTTGTTAGCGAAAAAAATTGATAATCGAGCAATTGAGTAACTATCAAAATAATTGTAATCTCCACCAAAATTAAAGCTGCGAGCCTCCTTTATTAAGGTGGTCCATCAAGCCGTCGCTAAGGCAACCGAATCATCTTTAAAGCATCTCCAAGTCTTTTGATGCATGTTTTGGCCGAAGGTCGAATAAAACCAATAAATTTGAATGCGAAAAAGTAAACGCTTTAAAAACGACGAGATTTTCAATTCACTTTTTTGGCAGTCCCAATGATCTACATGAATAGAGTTTTCATGTATTCTCGTCGTTTTGTATTGCGTGATTTTTTGTAGAAAGCGGGTGGGGGGTTCGAGACGTGCGGGATAGAAACGGCCTGATTTTGTATCACATCTTTTATAGACAATGGAATATAGCGCATTCTACTATGAAAAGGAGGTTTGTGATATAGCGCATTCTGCTATGTAAAGGAGATGTTTTTACTTGAAAGAAATTGAGGATCCGATTATGTGGGTGTTTTTTTAAATTTGAGGATTCCCAGATATGCTAGTACTGACATACATAATTAAGGGATAATAAACGACCATGCCACACCTGATCCAGATGCTGCTATTAATGATGTTTGCTGGTAAGGAGAGCAGGCGCCCAAAATGATTAACTCACCGCAATTCATATGACTTTAAGCATATATAACATTGTTTGGATGCCACGAGATGTAGACAATGTGGCTGCTACGGAAAACACGGGCTCACCACAACAACTTCGTCAATCAGAACAAGTACAAGCAGCGCCTGCAGCAACTACAGCATTGAGACAACTCGGCGATATCACGCTGTAGATTATTCACATGGTGCTGTCAATGCTGCTTTACATCGATATGCTGATGTCGATAATCGTTGACAATACACAGATTACTTTCGTCACGTAAATAGACTCCTGTTGTACATACATTTAATATTGTTCGAATGCCTCTTCTACAACCTATCAAAGCTGTTCATGATAGGCTGTTCAAGAAGTTCGTTGTTTTATAATGAGAGCATCTCATCACCAGTACTACATTCGTCCAAATTTTAAAAGCAGTACCAAACTCAAAAGCAGTTACACCTAGAAATAATATAGTGTGATCCACATTACACAAAGATGCAACATGAGAATGCTAATTGCGTGATTGTAACGGGGTGAATCGTTACATAACAATTTATAAGAAATTGTTAATAGAATATAACTATAAGAGTTATATTCTCAGAATATTGTCATAAGGACAATATTCTGTAGCACTTCCAAGTAGTTCCTAATTGGTTGATATAGGCCATTATATCAACCAACGAAGACGCGCCACGACAGACGCACGCAATGAGTGGTGAGCAGATAACTGATTTACACATTTGTATTTAGACATAGTTAGATGAAGATAAATAGTGATTTATTGCAGACATTAACTATTATAAATACAGTTCTACTTTTTACTCTAACCAAGTACTCGCTTCTTCATACCGTCTTCCTCTGCACGTACGAGTGTACGTGAAGTTACGAGGCACCGCCTTATTCTGTTATCAGAATAAGTAGCTTGTACTGTCACCAGTACAAGCTTCAGGGTGCCCCGTTACACCTGGTAGCACTTCGTAGTCCGTCCAAGGACCGCGTTCACATCCAACATGAATATGTTGGATGATGAAGATGACCAAAGCTTTCACGCTACGCGTGACGGCTAATCCCATTTGAGCGATGTCGAATGGGATGCGGTTGAACGAATGGGTTTGACCATGGGCATCCATGCTGTTAGCGTCATGCTAGAGGCTCTCAATAGAGATGCCCAACATGCTACTATCGCCAAGTTCATTCAAAATGAACTTGACGCAGAACGCGAGAAAGTAGCCTTGCTTCACCAACAAGGTTCTCAACAAGCAGAGTTGTTGAGAGAACAAGGTGCTCAACAGTTTGAACTGTTGAGACAGCAGCAGGCTGCTGCTGGCGGGTCGATGCACTCGCGTCGGCCCGAGACTTTGAAGATTGACATCTCAAAGTATAGGGGGGTCGAAGAAGACTCCCTCTTGAGATGGTTCGTCGAATTGGATGACGCCATAAGGGCGCGTCGCATCGACGACGGGGATATGCAAGTTGCATTTGCCCAGTCAAATCTGGCAGGACGTGCCAAGACTTGGGCACTGGGGCTCAAGCTGCACGACCCATATGCGTTTGGGTCGTTATAAGCCTTCAAGTCGCGGCTCAGACAAACGTTTGAACCGCCTAGAGCTGAGTTCAGAGCTCAAACTGAACTCTTGAAGCTCAAACAAGGTAAGCGTAATGTGCACGCTTACGCGCAACATATACGACATCTCACGAGTTGTATAAGTTTCAACCCGGTAGATGAACAGTTGGTTTCGGTGTTCATGCAGGGTCTTGCGGATGGTCCCGTCAAGACTCACCTGTTCCGGCTTGAACTAGATTCACTAGAACAAGCCATTTCAATTGCGGAGCAGGAAGACTTCAGTCTGAGACAGGCTCGCGCCAGCTCGACATCATATCGTCAACCGAGACGATATGACAACGGAGGTCCAGAGCCGATGGAACTCTGTTATGTAGAGAGCGAGAAGGCTCGCTCTACAGGCTACAAGAAGTTGCAGAGATGCAACAGATGTCAAAAGACAGGACACTACGCTTACGAGTGTAGTGCCCCTCGTCCAGTGTCTCGCGACACTGGGCGTAGTGACCGTCCACCCATGAGAAAGGGGCAGGGACGAGGGTCCGCAGTTGGTGCAAAGACGCAACAACGGGATGGACCGTCAAAAAACGGACAGGATCAGTAGGTGCGGAGCACCCTACTGATCCAGCAACGTCAAGAGAATTTGTAGGCCTCTTGATGAAGGTTGCTCCCGACACACAGACATTGTGCGTTGCTGCTCTAGGTAATGAGATCTCACTCATTACCTTGAAACTCGAAGTGACGAATAAGTTGTCCCTTCGAGCTCTAGTCGATTGTGGGGCGTCCAACAATTTTGTGCGACGCCAATCGCTAGAAGATGGTCACTTTAAATTCAGTGAATGTGACACACCTCCTACGAGGATGACGGTACGTCTTGCGACAGGCGCATCCGTAACCGTCATGAAGCGTATAGTGAAGATTCACTATACGCTAGAAGATACCCAATACGACGATGACTTTATCGTATTGGATTTGGATGACAAATTTGATGTCATCCTTGGAATACCGTGGCTCAGAAGGTACGAACCACGGGTAAACTGGCAACATCGGACAGTAACGATGCCTGCCGCTTGTTCATCAGATGGCCATCTGATGAACGTTTTGGAGCGTCCACAAGCGTGTGGATGTACTACGAGTGAGTGCGATGGCCTCACTTGTGGTACGGTCGTTAGTACGACTGCACAAAACCTTAGTGTACCAAACGGTTACACTTCGGAGCAAAGTTCCGGCGGCTGTGAGGAAACACAGGCTGCGCCGAAGGTCCACCACTCGAATAAGTCGGGTGGACTGGGACAAAGATGTATCCCTAGAGGGGAACATCTAGAAGAGAAACAATCGATCGCTCAGGTTAAGCGAAACGATAATCCTAGATCGACTGGAGAGTCTTTCGTAGAGGATCTCGCTGTGGTTGCGCAACCCCAGCTAGAGGAAGTAAAGGGAATAAGTCCCAAGATTACAAATACGGCGGAAATAAGTTCCCCGAAACCCGCGGGAATAAGTCCCCGGGAAGACGAAGGAATAAGTCCTTCGAAGCCTGAGGGAATAAGTTCCCAGGAAATGACAGAGACATTGAATGTCATAGTCAATAACGGATCATGTGTAGGCGCTTATACACTTGATCTGATTGCGCCTCCGAAGTTAACTTCGGAGATCACTCAGTTGCCAACGCTCGAACATAAAAGATTCTTGCGTGATCTGCGTAGTGGCAAAGTCAAGCAGATCTGCATACTCGTCGCTGACGACGAGTATGTAACCGACATAAGGTCAGCAACAGTGTTTGCTGAGAACGAGAGAGCTCTCAGTAGTTCATCTATGGACGAGAGTGTCCTAGATGAAAAGACACGAGTTGAGCGATATGACTCCCAATCGTGGGAATCGCTCAAGGACAAATCCTCTTTATGAAGATTTGGTTGAATTCAAGGATGTATTCCCTGAAACTGTTCCGTGCGAATTACCGAAGGATAAAGGTATTCGACACGAAGTCGAGCTTAAACCAGGCTCGAAGTACTGTGTCATGAAGCAGTGGCCACTGCCTCGTGAACAAGTACTTGCGATCGACAAGTTCTTTGCCGATCGTTTAGCAGCGGGCCATGTGAGGGAATCAACTTCCCCACATAGCTCTCCGACCTTCTGTGTGCGAAAAGCAACAGGAGGGTGGCGGATAGTGCACGCGTTTAACAAATTGAACGCTGCAACGGTACCGGCTCAGACGCCGATACCGAGGAAGGACGTAATCATTGATGGTATGTCAAAGAGTACCATCTTTTCGTCCATGGATTTGATGGATGGCTTCTATCAAATCCTAATGCGGGAACGGGATATACCCTATACCGCAGTTAGCACGCCTAGCGGCATGCTCTGGGAATGGCTAGTAATGCCACAAGGGCTCAGTAATGCCCCTGCCACGTTCAACAGGTGTGTATCACATCTGTTGAGGCCAGTACGAGAATTCGCGCCGAGTTATTTCGATGACGTATTCATCCATAGTCGAGCTATGGATGGAAAGTCGGACGTTGAGGTTCACAAGTACCACGTCCGACAAGTTCTTACAATCATGCGAAAGCATCAATTGTATGCAAACCTCAAGAAGTGTATATTTGCAGCAAGCGAAATACCACTTCTTGGGTGCATCGTTGGTAAGAACGGTGTACGTCCTGATCCCGAAAAGATCAAGGCGATCACCGACTGGCCCGTGCCGGTCGATGTCAAAGGTCTTCGAAAATTCCTTGAGCTAGCGGCGTATTTGCATAAGTATTCACGCAATTACGCCGAGATGACTGTACACCTCTCTCGTTTGTTGAAAAAGAACGAGAGGTGGTTATGGAACGCTGAATGTCAACGCTCCTTTGAGGGTATCAAGCAGAGCTTGATACAATCCCCAGTCCTAGCAATAGCCGATCAGGACAGGCCATTTCATGTGGTCTGTGATGCCAGCGATTTCGCAATCGGCTGTGCATTAATGCAGTACGACCTTGAAGGCGTTGAACGCGTCGTCTGCTATCAGTCGCGTCAGCTGCAACCAGCTGAGCGGAACTATCCAGTGCATGACAAGGAACTCCTTGCCATGAAGTATGCACTCGCGAAGTTCAGAGTCTATCTATTAGGAGATAGACCCTTCGTTGTTTACACTGACCATGCGTCCTTACGCACGGCAGTGAACAGCCCGCACCTTTCACAACGAATGGCGCGGTGGTTGTCATTCTTTGCAGAATACAACTTTACGGTCGAGTACAAACCAGGACGACTTAATGTCGTCGCTGATGCACTCTCACGTCGTCCCGACTTTGAAACAGTCGCGAAACCCAACAGTGAGACAGTCACTGTTGCGGTTATGACGTCCTCAATTCCATCTACAACGTTGTATGATGATGTGAGGCGGGCATACGCCCAAGATGGTGAGATAGTGAAGTTGTTGTCACATCTCTCCCAACCATCTCGAGAATCGTTGAAACGATTGTCGTCTGCGTATCGATCTGCATCAGATCGATACACTACTCGTAACGGTTTACTGTACTATACAGCCGTTTCTGGTGACACACCACGTGTTGTCATTCCAGATGATACTGATCTGCGTTTGCGGATCATGTTCGAGTATCACGATGCTCCTATAGAAGGACATCGTGGCCGAGAGAAAACATATCTCACGGTAAGTCGAGACTTTTACTGGCCCCGCCAGTATCAGTTTGTGCGAAAGTATGTTCGCGCATGCGAAGTCTGCCAACGAGTGAAGTCAAGTCCTTCACTGCGTGCACCTTTACAGCCTCTACCGGTTCCGGCTGAGTGCTGGGAATCCATCTCAATGGATTTCGTCTTCGGGTTACCCAAAGACGCACGCGGGAATACGGGTATTCTCGTATTTGTTGACAGATTCAGCAAAATGGTACACCTTGTGGCTGTACCAGAGACAATCACGGCAAGTGGCTGTGCTTGTGTCTTTATTGACACCATCTTCCGACTTCATGGGTTGCCCCGTGAACTCGTATCAGACAGAGATCCACGATTCACTGCTGATTTCTGGCGTTCCGTGTTCAAATCACTCGGAACGCGCTTGAAGATGTCAACATCTGATCATCCAGAGTCAGATGGTCAGACGGAACGTGCCAACCGTGTCCTTGAAGAGATACTTCGAGGATACGTACACTCCTTTAAGAGTTGGAGTGAGTTTTTGCCGATGGTAGAGTTTGCCATCAACAACTCGGTGCATGCGTCCACGACACATACACCGTTTTACGTGAATGGCTTGCGCCATCCGCGTGTACCCACCTTACTAGAGTGTAACTCTGGTTTAAGGGGGGAGGGACTCGCGCGAGCAAAAACCGATTTGGTTCACGCTCATCACGCTCTGACGAAGAGGTCATTGCGTTTGATGCCGATATTGATAACATCGATATCGAAGAAGATGATGCCAGTGAGAGTGCGGAAGCCCTCACTAAAGAAGATGATCCCAGTGAGAGTGCGGAAGCCCTCACTGAAGAAAAGGTTGTTGTCGCTGCAGTGCGCTCACAGCACACTGAAGCTAACGAGTCATCAGATGAGTTCATACTGGCTCGTGAAACGGTAGTCCGTTTTGTGCAAGACTCCATCGCCGAAGCGGTGGATAAGCAAAAGCAAAACGCTGACAAGAATGGAAGGGCAAACACTCTTTTATTTAATAAAGGTGACTTAGTCCTACTGTCTACGGTTAATCTACCAAAACATGTAGTGACTAACTTGGGTAGCAGTAAACTACTACCCAAGTACATTGGCCCATTTCGTGTATTGCACCGCCTAGGCAATGCATACACGATCGAGTTACCACGTAAGATGCGAACGCATCCCACGTTTTACGTTGGTCGGCTTAAGCCGTACCATCAGTACGCTGCTTCTTCCGATGAAGAACGCCCTTGCGCTCAAGCATCTCGCAGAGAGCCTTGTGCTCCCGATGGTGGGCATCAACAAGGGTCTGAAGAGCAGTTATCTCAGCCCGAGACCGATCAACAATCCCACGAGCTACCCTTAGCTCGTCAC